CAGGAACCTCAGGTGGGAACAGCAGAGGCGAGCATATCTGGGGTAGAGAAACAAAGTGTAGCAAAAACTCGGAAGCCATGCCAGGAGCTGTGGGTGTCTCAGCAGACACAGAGTGTTGGGTAAAGTGTAACAAAAAGCCCAAAGCAGTGGCAGAAAACAGCGGGGCTGGGCAGTGGCAGCCAGGCTCCTGCAAGCAGCTGGGAGATGCTCCTTCTGGAGGGGGGCCGGGTTGGAGTCCTAGATTTTCCCCTGAGGCACCTCAGCAGAGGCACCTCATTTCCAGTGTTGAAAAGGTCCCAGTTCAACGGCCGCTCCTACGATCAAAGGCTTACCAAAGGCAATGAGAAACAGTGAGGAACAGAACTCTGAAGTAATGGCAAATTCTCCCCATAGCAGCAGCCTGGCCCCAAGACCGCGACTGTCCCTCCTCTGATCCTGAGAGAGGGTGAGCGAGCGAGCTAAGGCCAGCCCAGTCCCTCACCCCCCAGCCAAAATCTTGCAATATCTGTGTACTTCCTAAGGGAAAGCTCCCCAGCTTAGAGATGGTAGCAAACTGCACCCTTCCCCCTCCTCCTCCTCCTCTTCCAAGCCACATACTTTGTCTCTTAAGTATCATAGTTATCATCTCTGAGAAAACAAATAGGAGAAAATTCCCTCAGAGAAGAAAAAAAAAAGGAAAAATCCTAACCTCCAATATTCCTGTTGAGCTATACTGGCTCTGGAGCTTCTGATTCATAAGGTCTTTTGAGACTTAAGTGTTATACTTAGAAGTGGCATATGAAACTCCTTTGCAGACTATTTGCTCAAATTCTGCATTTCAATCCAAAAGTACCATCAGCTGAACAAAAGTGTTTGACTAATCTGCTGCTTTCTGCTGGTGTTGTCACACAGTCCCAGGACTCATGACTGCTGTGCTTCATAGGGCTGCAGCCAGGTACCCTGCATGTTCAGTGATGTACTGCAATAACAGTGGTCAGGCTTTTTCCATCCTGGGAAGTTTCCATGGCCTCTGTCAGAGCTGGCCACGCTTTGAGATCCTTCTGCCTTTCTGCAGGGCAGGAAGTGTTCCTTTACCCTCCTGCCCCATTCCCAGTACTGGTACGTGGATGTGCCTGCACCAACAGTTCTCTAAAGTCACAGCATTATGAAAAACATGGTGATATTTTTTCATTCGTCTCTTCATTCTTGAGATTTTTACACTCATGCTTTTCAGCTTCTCTGCAAATCAGAAAGAAAACTTTCAGGAAGCTTACCTTAAAATCAAGAAGACTGGTGAACATGAGTTGATGGTCCCCAGAGGAACAATGGTGCAGTGGACAGTAGTGTTTTGCAGCAGCAGAAGGTCCATCCAGCACCATCAGACTGTCTATCTCTGACCCATTGTCTCAGGGTGGAATGCATCTCCCGGGGCTTGCCACTGGCTTGTAGCAGCAGTGTTACTGGGAATCAGTCTTTGTTCTTTCTCCTCCTTACCTTTGCTTCTGGGGGGATGATGGAACGGTCTGACCCCTTTTGGGCTAAAGCTGTATGTGGAGTGTAGAGTCAGGTTTGTGGCAAAGAGGTGAGCTAACTCTCACAAGAATCCTTTGTTTTGTGTCTTTGTGTTTCAGCGAGGTGAGAACTACAGAGGAGAAAGCTTACTATTTCACATGAAGGAGGGATGTGTGTGATTCCCACACTTTCCTCATGTAGTGGCAGTCAGTGTGCGCAACATACTGCGCGTGTGTGCATCCTTGGATGGCTGATCCGTGGTGTTTGTTTTTGAATGGGGCGAGGGTTGTCTGCTAAGAAGTGCTGTCAAGAAGTGTAGCTGATGGATGCTGGAATATCTGGTGAAATTTGTGAAGCAGTCATGCAATGTTCATTCATCTACCTCAGTTTCACTTAGGGTTGTACCATTTGTCTGCCCGGGTCTTGTGGTGGTAATAACATGGCTTGAAATTTTCTCCCCCACTTCTCTTTTCCCCCTCCCTTCTTCCATGTTTCTTTCCTCTCATTTTCCTTCTCTCTCTCTCTTGCTCTCTCTCTCTCTCTCTCTCTCTCTTCTTCTTCTTCTCCCCCTTCCCCCCCCTGCCCCCTCCAGCAAGGCTGATGGATATGCAGAGTATGTTAAGAAGCGAGCAATACTGTCACTGAGCTGATGGTGCTCAGTGACTCCTCGGGCTTCTGGCTGGTCTGTACTGCAGGAGCTTGACACCCTGACCACTGAGGCATAAAAAACAGAGAATTGGAAGCTTCAGCCTGACAGGCACTGGAGCATCCCCCAGAGAGGGTCCACGATGTGTGTCTGTGTGTGAGTGTGGGGAGGAGGGCAGTGGGGATGATGGGGGAGGAGGGCAAGACAGGAGAGGACGAAACAATGAAATGTCAGCCCATTCCCACCCACAGCCCTGCTGCAGCAGTGATAAACGTTTGGAAAGTGCTGCTGCCCACTCCATGGCATGCACAGCATCAGCATGGAGTGGACTGTCTGTGCAGCTCCAGGAGAATAGGAGAGGGGAGGGAGAGAGGGATGGAAGGAGGGAGGAAGGGATCAAGGGAAAGAAGGAGAGTGCTGGAGAGCTGAAAATGAGGTGTCGTGTCGTCCAATGGGACAATGCTTCCCCATGAGGGATGAAGCTCTTGCAGACACGAAACAGCTAATTGTAAGCTTTGTTTCAAGCCTGGGGTGCTCCTGGTGCAGGAATGACAGGGCAAGCTTTTCTGTGCACTCTGTGCAAACAGCCCACAACAGAGGTCTACATCTGCTGTCCCGTCCACCCTGTCCCTGGGTCCATGCACTGCACAGGTCTCAGGAAGGATGTGGCGGCAAGATTCACTCCCATCTGCTTTTGTGTATCATGTCAGTCAGGCAGCACAGCTGTTTTGTGCAACTAAAGAAGGACTAAACCATTGAAAATCTCACTTCCCTGTGGAAAGGAATACGTGCAACCCCTGGGGAAGGTAGTGTGTGATAGCCTTCTTGTAGAGCAGGCACCCACAGAATGAAAGGATTTCAGTGTGCCACACATGACAGAATGTGACCAGGACTTCAGGCCAGGGAAACATTGTGACTCTCACAAGTGAAGTTCCCAGACAGCCTGCTGCCTGTTTGCTTTGCAGGCTTGGGCAAATACTCAGAAACACAGGCTGGGCCAGAGACAAGCAGGATGCCCAGGAGCTACAGAAGCAGGAAAAAATAAGGGAGGACTCTGGGTGAGACAGCAGCCTCAATTGTGTTGATGTAGAGGCAGAATGGACCTGAGAGAAGCTGTTGTGTCCTGCAGGAGAGAGATGGATCCCTGTCTGTTGGAAGGCAATGGCTCTTGCCACTGGCTGCAGTATGTCGAGTGGCTCCTAGCATCTCTTTGGGCATTGTCAACTTTGCTATGCCTTACTCTTTTAGAATATGCACTCTAACAGAAGTAACCCTCAAGCTTTGACGTCATCTATCAGCCATAGGGACAGGAGGAAAGAATTGTAGGTACTGTGTACTTCCCTGTGAAGAAAGGTTTGAAACAGCTCCATTTTTCCTGCCTCAGGGTGAAGTAATGCCATTCCTTAGAGGCAATAAGGAAAACCCTACTCTGAGCTTGTGAAGAGTTGTTGGCACAGCAAGATGTGCTAAGTGTGGAAGTGCTTGCTGCTGCACACTTTGGACCTTTCCTCTATGGAAGCTGTGCTGGAGAAAGAGAGTGGTTGCTCCTAGTAAGTGTCATGAGTCCAAAGGGCTGCAGAAAAGAAACAAGGAAGAGATGCTAACAGAGACTTCCTGTAGCACACTAATGATGGGCTGGTCCTGCTGTCAGCACACTCAGTCTGTTCATCTTGTGATGCAGGCAGGGAGGAAGCTTGTTTTCACTGAAGCAGAATCATGTGGAGATCAAGCCATCCTGGACCTGACCCTATGTTTTGGTGACCAGAGTATCATCCCCTCTTCCCTGGCACCGGTATGCCAGCAAATGGCCTAAACCATGGGCACTCACTGGCCAGGAGACTCAGATGTGGTTTCCAGGTTGGGTCTTTAGATTGTATGGGACAGGGGTGCTGAGCCTGAGGTGCTCAGGACTCATTGTCAGGGGTCCACTGCCTAGCTGCGATTATGGGTATGGAGTCATGGCTATGCCAATGCCAAGGACCAAAGTAGGCAAAGGTCATGACAAGCATCTGCTGTGGCCTGTCAGCCCTCAAATCTTGCCTTAGGAAACACCCTTTCTCCGGCTGTGCTGTGCTGTGCTTGTATATATTTACATGTGGGAGAGGGAGAAGGGAAGGAGGAGCAAAGAGAGAGAGGAGGAAATCTGTAATTCAAGGAACATTTCCTAATAAAACAGCAGCAGTGTTGGCATTTGTGTGGTGGAGGGGCCAGGTCAGAGCCCCATGGTGCAAGGCTCTATTCTGAAGAGCTTGCCGCTGAAGTATGAAGCAGGTGACATGTGAAGAGAACAAGAAGATGGGAAGAATGGGAGCTGATGAGGAGATAAATAGCCATAGTTTTTCAAGTCTTTTTTGTGCCTTTGTCTGGAGGGTTCAAATCTATCTAAAACTGAAGCAAACATCCCTCTCCTTGGGTTACAGTGTTGGAGAAATATCTGGGACCATGACATGTTTTCCATGAAGCGTATCCCATATCTATTGGATCATCTTCTCCTGCAGACTGTATCTGGACAGGCCTGTCCTTGTATTGTGCCTCTCACCTGAGTCCTGTAGGGCTGGAGAGGCAAAGGCCAGCCCCATCAGTGTGTCCCAGAGGCTGCTCCATCTCTCCTTATTTCCTTGCTCCTGCAGCAAATTTAAGAGGCCTGGGCTGCAGCACAAAAAAGACACGTAAGCGATGTTTGCACCCATTTACTTAATAATTGATTTCATACTCCCCTTTCTCAAGGCAGAGTGTCCACCAGTGCTTTTACTGTGGCTGTCAGTGGAGCAGAGCACACACTGGAGAGCCCCTTTAGCTCAGAATGGTAACTATCATCTCAAATCAAATGACCTTTTATTCTGTCTTTGTCTCTTTAACTTAGGGAGTGAGTTTTCTGGGAGCCCATACAGCCACCCACAATATTCAACATACAACGACTCCTGGAGGTTTCCCAACCCTGGACTCCTAGGTAAGTGATCACTCCTGTCATGAGACATCAGTGTAAGGTGTGCAGTGTTTGTCCAACCCTGGGGTGGGCAGAATGTGTGTCCCAGCTTATCCTCAGTTGTGTTTAGACCCAGAATGGGACTGCAGGTCCCATTGGAGTGCATGATTGCTCTTGGTTCACTTTGCCAACAAGAAGACCTGGTCCAAATGTCTTGTCTTCCTGCTTCTGATAAAAATCCTTCCAGAGACATAGGGTATTGCTGGAAAGCAGAATCACCATGTTTTTTGAGGGTAAGGGACCCTGTTCAGACAAAACTTGTGCTGCCAGTTTGCTTGCAGCCAATTGTAAGCTCCACTGCTTCCTATGACATTGCTGCTTGCTTGTGCGTGTGCTTTGCATTTCTCCCTGATCTCGTGTTGTGTTTGCTTCCCAGTTGTGTGTATGCCCACTCCATCTCTCCTCAGCAAGGGACCACTGGTACAGCCTCACTGATGCCAGCATGGTCCTTATGAGCAATGGGAGGCAGAAGCCCTGTAACTCCTGCAGGATCATGGCCCTCATGTGAAGGATAAACATAATCCATTTTACACCCCGTCAAAAGCTGGCCCACTTTGACCTTATATACATGTAGCATGCAGTAATTAGAATTTTTCCCTGCATAATTTGCATGGATGAGGTAAGTAAAATACCAATTAATTGTCATCTCTCAACACAGGAGTAGCATGCCTTAGAGATTTCCAGATTTATGGATGACAGGGCTGTTATATGTGACCTCCAGCAGCGAAATAATTTTGAATTTTTGTCATACTTTTTTCATCCAGTTTCTTTGTTTTAAGTAATTGAGTCCCCATGTAATTGAACCACCCAGGCTGTATTCATCATGGTTCTTGTCCTTAAACAAATCCTTCGGGAGCAATAGACAGCCTCTGCCTCTCATGCCATGGTGCTGGTATAATGCTGTTATTTGCTGTGCCACATTTAAGGGTTTGTTAGCGCTTCCATCATAAATCAACAGACAGATCTTCAGCTAATATGAATGGGCATAGCTGCACAAAGCCAGGGGAGTCCCCGTGCTTAAACCCACTGTTTCCATGGCCACAGCCAGTGGTGCTGCCAGAATTTTGGTTGAGCAGCATGGGGAAGATGCTTTTGCCAGAGGCAAGAGCACACACCATGCTTTCTTCATTTCTCATTTTGCAATTCCTTTTGAATCAGGAAAAGTGCTTCAGAAATGCTCTGCATCATGGATAGGCCTGGGAAGCCAGGTTTTGTGTAAAACAACAACAAAAAGCTTTAAAAAATATTTTCCTTCTGAAGTGTTAAAGAAATTGGCATGACACTAAAAGTAAATGACAACCAGCTCTCATCCTGCTCTTCTGCATGAAGACAGGACTTCTGGAGAGGCTCCTGGGCTGTTTACTATGTTCCTGCCTGTGGATATCCACCTCCATTAGAAGGGTTTGTGCCCTATCTGGAGCCATCCCAAAGCTATTCCTGAGCAACCCCACAGGCGTGGGCAGTGACCCTTCCATTCTGTCAGCAGTAGGTTGCAGCCATGGCCTGCTCAGCTCTTTATTTGGGGTGATGGACCTGTACCAGCTCTGACCATGCTGTCCATGGTGCTGGGCAAGGTGGGTCCCTGTGATGCCCTGAAGATGCTGACGATGGGTAGGTCTGGGTCAGCAGAAGGCTTTATACAGAGGCTAGTCATGAGACAACTGCTTGCTGCCAGGACCTTTTATCTGTACCATATCCTTTTTTCTACATTCATCCTCTTTTTCTCATTTCCTTTTTGGATCATACACTTTGGGGGCAAATTCCGACTCATCTGTGACATATGAGCAGTTATGGGATAGTGTGCTCCTTACAGCAAAGCTCATTCTCTGGCTGGAGGGGATTTCTTCATCAGCATTTACTCAGCAGCATGCTGTGAACATGTGTTTAAATGAGGCAAGGGCAAAAAGAATCAGAGGCTATCATATTTTTCCAGAAACTGTAGCTTTCTTGAAATTGGGATGTTTCATGCTATAATGTAAATGCTGTGGGGTTTTTTTTCTGTTGGAAAATGTAAAATATGTAATCTGGTCTTCCTTATTTTTGTCCTCTTCAATATACTTTGTTTCGGCATTAAAAAAAAAAAAAAAAAAAGAAAAAGGAAAAAAAAGAATGTGAATTTTTGTTCTGCAGCAAGTCCTAAAGTCCTAAAGATGAACTTACCATTTCAGTTCAATTTCAGTTCAGTCTGGTTGCAGAACTGGGATGTGGGGGCTGGAGTTTCCTAGAGAGGAAATCCCATGTCTGACCATGGGTCCAAGTACAGTGGTATGATCTGATCAAGAATGTGTCTGCAATCAACCACAGTCTATGGGTCAGATGTCTCTTGTGCCTTACAGAGATCCCTCTTACCCACAGCTCTACCTTTGTCACTGGAAGCCTGATCCTACAATCCCTTCTCCCTAGTGCCTGCTCATCCTACTGGTAGTTTAGGGCAAGTAGGAGTCTGTGGCAGGGCCTTTAAACCTGCCCCAAGTCTCCCTGCACACCCAGAAGGTGCTGTGTGATGAGCCTGGGCACACGCAGTGGAGAATAGGTTAATTTGAACTATATCCAGGATGCTTCCACTCCTCTCAGGAGTATACGTGAGTGCATTTAGTAATTCTCTCCTGAGAACAAGCTCTGGCAGTATCGGCCTCAGAGCAGAAACCTTGACAAAATTAATCAGGACTGGTACATTGCCTGACACAGTTTGTTTTACAAAGTCCTGCTCCTTTCACTGAGATGAAAGTGTAATACTGTAAGCACTTAGCAGCACCTACGTTCAATTAATTCCCTGTGCTGGCAAGGAAGAATTGCACCACAGCAATCACACAAGTCTGAGACCTGTGAAAGAGGAGCTAAAATGAGAAATGCCATGATTTGCAAGTGGAGGAAAGGATACTTGGATTGAAAAAATATATTTGGGGGAGAGTAAAGAGAGAGAGGATGACAATAGTGAGAAAGCTTTGGTTTTTAGTCCCCAGTCTTTGTTCTGTATGTGTGGAGCAGCAAGGAGGGGTGTGAGGTGGTGTCTTCAGGGGACAGTAGAACCATATTCATGTAGACAGTAGGAATTGGTTGTCTGGCCCCAGCAGAACACCAGCTACTCACCATTACCTTGCTGTCTGCTCTGCTCTTGCTTTGATGCTTCTCACCTCTGCACCAGATACCAAGCCTCTTCTGCCTCAGCTGTCGTGAAACCAGTGCAGGTGACTGTGCTCCCTCCTCTCTGGGGCAGTCCCAAATTCTGTGCCCCATGGCTCCTGGGGAAGAGCAAACAAGCAAGCCATGGTCCTTTAGAATGGTCAGCAGAAGCCGGGGCAGAAGAAGTCAGTTATATGCTGCAGCTTTGCAGTGACTTCATGCTCTTGCGTCTTGCATCACCCTGGTGGCACCCACACCCCTTTTGGTGTCAGAGAGATGACCGGCTTTGCTGTGGGGAATGACTTGGTCCCACCTCAACCACAGCAAGAGTGAGGACAGTCCCCAAGTTGCTGGAGGAATGTGCTGGGAAGAGGACATAAACCCTGGCCACTTGTGTGCTCTGGCTTAGTGGTTCAAGTAGGTATCTCCATCTCAAAGCCAGGCAAAGAGTTGAGGAAAGGAACATATTATTCCTTTCTTTTTTTTTGCCCATATTTTCCTGCAAATGACCTGCAAGCAGTACAGTGCAGGGATGCACATGGAGGCACATGCATGAATGCATGAGAGGCAAACATGCATGTCTAGGGCTCAGGCTGTTGGCACATACTGGTGCACACTAGTGTAGGACCAGCTCAACATGTGCATGCTAAGGGCAGATAACAGCAACACTGTCTAATGAAGAAAAGAAAGTCAGTTTTTGTTGGCTTGTAGCATTTGGCTCAATCCTGCTCATCTGTTTAATGCAGTGTCCCTGCTCACACGCAGATGTGATCCCTGTGAGCTGGTTGGGATGGTTTGCCTGCACCATTGCTGTGCCATGTCTGCCAGTTCTGGCAAGGCATCATGCAAGGACAGGGCTTGGAGCCTCTCAATTAGGATTACATTCAATCCTCTGTGGGATTCTGTGGAAAGATTAGAGAACAAGTAGGCACTAGAAATGACTGTGTCAGGAAAGAAATTGATGATAGTATGAATTAGAAAGGAAAAATGACAGAAGGATGGACTAGTCTGTTCTGGATGGGGGCATGGTGACAGGAAGAGTGAGTGATTTCATTTTTCACTTTAAATACAAGCTTATTTGATTGCACAGCTGAAAGGCAAACTGGCAAAATCTAACTTGAGAGAAATGTAAGGCCTTTGGAAAGCATGGGAGAAATATTGGGCTTTTTGTAGCTGCATTGAGTCAGAACAGATGTGGAGGAAGATGGAGTGTGAAAACAAAGGCTCTGACCCCCAAAAGACCCCATTTACCCCAAAACTCAGAAAGCATTGTATCCAGCTCTGGTGGGACCCACACACTGCTCCATGAGTCAAGGTGAAATTGTTTGGTGCCACTGGATTCCTGCCGTGTGTTTTTTACCCCTCTGCCTGAGCTGAGCTGCCATAGCTAGCACTGGTGCTGGTGCCAGTGGGGACTGGAATCTCTGATGACCACCATCACTGCCTGCTTCACACTGAGCTCCTGGTGCTGTGATGGGTGAGGACAGCAGTTCCACCTGGCTCTTCACTGGCCTTTGAGCTGTTTTACCTCAAGGTACTGCCTGCCATGATCCCCAGGGATGTCTGTGCAGCTGGATTGGCCATGAGGGGACATGAGCCAGAAAACTGGGCACCCCCAAGAGGGCAGCTCCCGAAGAACATCCTCAAAACCCCAGCTGGACATGGCAAGCACATTTCAAGGTCTGATCAGCTTTTAACTTTTGCCTTTGCTCATTCAAGAGTGGCCAATTCGACCAGGGAAGTTTTCTCTGCTTTCAATGGCTTGAGTTTGGCTGGGATACAAAGTATACAGCATTTAATTTTAGGCTACTCATGAGAATGGTTTGCACTGTTCTTGTGAAGCTTTCCAGTATTCTCCAGGAAATATAGCTCCTGAGGCTGGGGCTCCTTAACCTGATGTCAGTTACCTGGAAGAAGGCTATCTGTCCAGCCCAGGATAGCAGTTGTGGTGCCCTCAACAGATAACACAAGACTGCACTAGTGTAAACATAAGTGGAATGATAACCTGATGAAGAGATCTTCTTTAACATCATTGACTATGGCTTAAAATTTTTTACTTTTAATAAAAAAAGAGGTCAGATTGGCTCCTGTCTAGGAGTTTGTATACAGGCATCTTTGCAAGTGTTTATCCTGGCCAGTGATTTCGCGGACTCTCTTGAATTACTCTTGTGTATGGTAAAACTATCTTCCTAGTCAGCTAGGACCACACTCCTGAAGATTGCTTTACTTTGTTTAAACCCTTTGCAGTGGTTTTGTCTGATTTTGGATGTCTGGGTCAGTAAGGATGAACTGAGGACAAAGCGGACCCATATACTGTGTACAAGCTCCTGTTTTGCCATAGCACTGTGCAGAAGACACATTCCAGTAGCCAAAGTCCTCTGTTTCTGACCCCTCAGGGTTCCAGAAGCAGAGTGCCACATGCTGTGGTAGGATACTGATCATGATGAAGTTTTCTTCTCTGACCAACTGTACTGAGCAGCTCCTTGCACATACTGGGCAAGAGCAAATGCTGCCTCTGTGCTCTGTTTTTTTGATGCATCAGCTTGTGCTCCCTTGGAAATGAAAAGCTGGAGAGTGATGATGAAACCTGAGCTGATCTCCTGATGTGGCAGTCTGAACAAAAGCAGTCTAGAAGGAACAGCTGGACTTGCCTGTCAGATTGAGCCTGTTGGACCCACAGCAGTGGGGTAGCCCTGCATTTTGCTAATGGTCAACAGCAACTTTCCTGAGCTTCCTCTTAAGATCTGGCTGTGTGATTCTTACTCTGTGCCTGGGCTTCTGAACCAGCAGCCCTCAAGTAATCACTCAGGTAATTTTGGAGTGAACAGCAAAGTGTTTCTCAGGAGGTTGTACAATAAGAGGAGATGGCAGGAGGCTCTTCAGCCTCCCAGAGGGGAAGGCTTTTGGCTTAGCTTAGAGCATGTTACCAACAGCACCAGGCATGCCAGCTGGGTTCCCCTTCAAGTCCGGAGGGTTTGCAGGGCCATGGTGGAATAGAATAACTGGTGTACCAGAATAGCTGGTGTGCTCAGTCTATGCCTAGGGGCTGGGCAACCATTGGACCTGCAGGATTTGCTAGAGTCTAGGATGGGAATTGAACAACCAAACAATGCACCTTTGGCTTCACTGCCACTGATGCTTTCCTAAGGGGTCCACAGTCCCCAGTAATGTGGTGGTATCACCTTTTCCTGGTGAGGCCAGCTCCTCTGTGCCACTGAAACAGCAGAAGTCACTGCCTCTGCAGCAAATAATATCCAGGGCTCTGAAGACCCTTGGCAGTGTCTGATAGATTGCTGTCCCATGTGTGTTGAAGGCAGGGAGCTTAGGATGGAAGGCAGCTCTCAGACAGGGCCACTTATGAAAGCAAACCCTACAGCCCTTAGTACTCCAGAGCTGTTACTTGCATTGGCTCATTGTTGCTCATCCAAACCTCCCTGAGGGTCTCAGATGCATGTGGCTGAGTACAAGTCCTTCCAGAGAGGTTCTTCTGCACTGTGATATGCCTCACATCCCATGCATGTGAAGCTGGTGAGTTGCAGACCAAACTGGTAGCACACTGAAGAGAGAAAACTCCCTTCTTAGGATGGATTGGAGTTGCTTTCATTGCAGGTGTGCTTGGAAAGTTTCTTAAAACTGGTGCAGGCTGGACAGATTGGTATCTCTCTGGATACCAGTCAAAGACTCTTCCTCATTCAAACAAACAGTCCGTGTTCCTGGTGATCCTTGCATAATCATCCTATCCACCAGTGCTTAGCCCTGCAGGACACAGAATTTTCACCAGTATTTTTCAGGCCTTTTCTTGGTAAACCAGTGCTTTCATTGAAATACTTTGAATGATTTGGGGTTCAACCTCCTCCTTTTAAAAGGAGGGGGGAAAATAAAAGAAGTCAGAGTATGTTAATGTGTTGGTGTTGGAATATCTTGACTTCATGTTCTGAAAAATAATTAACTTCATTTTGTGAAGTAAATGAAGTTGATGTTTTGAGTGAAGGAATGGAAGAAGGTATCAAATGGCAAGCAGCAATGCAGAGCAATGGTAGCCTCCTTCTCATGCAGAATGCATGAATGCAATTTTCATTCTATTTACCCAGCCTTTACCGAAGCTTTGGCTGGAGTGCTCTCTGACACCCATTGTCAGAACACTGCAAGCTGGCACCTCTCCACCTTTGTCCTCCTCACAGTGGTTTCATCTCTCACAGGCTCCCCCTACTACTACAGCGCTACAGCCCGTGGAGCAGCCGCGCCAGCTGCTGCTGCTGCCTACGACCGCCACTGACGCCGGAGCTCAGGGCATCAGCACTGACAGCACACACGTCTGGGACAGCCGTCACGAGTCGTCTTGCTGCCACCATGCCAGCCACTCCAAAAGGGAAGGAGAAAGTACCTAGTAGGAACATGATCATTGAAATTTTGCTCTCAAAAGCTTGTTGAACTGATTATCATATTCTTAAATCTGGTTGGGTCCTGAATCAAACAGAGAAGCAGGAGGAAGTGGTACTCCTGAAGCTCTGTGTGGTCAAAAAAGTGTGGTAGCTTCATGTTCTTTGCAGCCGGCTGGCTACTGCTTTAATCGCCTGCGGGTGCCATGGCTGTATCTGGGGATAAGGAAGAGTTGTGAGCAGCTCCCCTTGGGGCAGCTCCCTCTTGCTGCACACTGAAACAGGCTGTGAGACTTAAGGCAATTTTCTTTTCTTCTTCTTCTTTTCTTTTTCTTTTTTCTTTTCCTTTTTTTTTTTTTTTTTTTTTTTTTTTTTTTTTTTTTTTTTTTTTTTTTTTTTTTTTTTTTTGTGTGTGTGTGTGGCAAAAGAAAAATCAGTCTGCTCAACTTTACGCAAGCACACCACTGTAAATATTTGCTTGTTTGTATTACTGTAAGAGTAGCTTAAGCATAAACAGCAACACTGTACAAGTAAGAAGTCAAAACACATCCAAAAGTGTGTTTTGAAACTGGGGCACTGATTCAAAGAACTCAGTAAGCTTTAAGCAACTTTGAACCAGGTTAACACTCATTGTGGCTGTACTTTGGGCTGATGTTGTTTCTATATAGAGCATTCTATTTGACAGTTCTGTGTGATCATGCTATATGCTGGTATCAAGCACATGGGCAACTGAAAGACATAGGCAATTTTGTGATTCTTTACTGCTTAATATTCATTTATGTTTATTTGTCATCATACTAAACACTGGAACAAATTCACTGGTTTTGAGTTAAGCAGCATCCAGGAAGGAATTCCTAAATAACAGTTGACACCTTACATTTATGTCTACAGATTGTGTGCTAAATCCCAGTCATGAAAACCCTGAGAGAAAGGCAGAGAAATACTGTGGTTATGATTTTTGTTAAGTGCATACATTGAGTGGGGTGTACCAGGCATGAGGGCAGCAGCACTCACTTTCCAAGCCAAGCTGAAAGGGAAATTCCTTGTTTCAGGGTGTCTGTACATTTCTGTGAAGGCATTGCAGATTCCAGCACTGTAGTCCAGACATGCCTTAGGGGAATTTTGCCCTGCTAATTCTGTGTTTCTTCCCGCCTACTTGAATAGGAAGCACTAATAGTCACACTTTTCAATATGCACCTTGGTGGGGGGCTGAATTAAGAGAGCAGAGCAGCTATGAATGACCACTAAGCAGCTACACCAATCTCTGCCTCTCCATGGAGACAGGAGAACTGCTATCTCTCCCTGAAGCCTCCTCCTAGCTCAGACCAAGGCACAGACAACCTCAGCCACATAAGGATGATGGGCATGACCCCATCCCTTCCCTCCTGAGGGCAATGGAAAAGCTCCCTGGTCCTGTGGTGATGAAGACCTGGCTGTAGCCTCCTGACTCCTGACCTAAGCATCCTCATCCACACAGAGCTGCTGGGCTCTTCTGAGGGGTTCTGTTGGTGCTTGCCTGCAGAAGAAAGGCTGTTGGTGTCAAACTTGAGATGCACTCCTGTGGAGGAACATTCAAGCAGGTATTCACCATGTTCCAGCTGTACAAAACTTTCTCTGGCAGGTCCTGAGTTAACACTATTCTCTCTCCTCCCTTCCCATCTCATCACTTGTGCTGCATATCTGGTATCTGTAGTGGCCACTGATCTGCTGAGAAATTCCCCCTCCCACTCCAGTGGTATCCTCTCACGGTATGGAAATGCTGTCGTCACTTCCAAGTTGCCAGGGCAAATGTGTTCCAGTCCTCAGCAACCATGGAGACATCCAGGTCCCACCAGCTCAGTGACATTTCAGCATGATGTTCACAGACCCCATCAGGGATTTTAGCCAGAGTCTTTTAAACTAACCCAGAAATAAGTTTTGTGATAAACTTATCAGTGAAATGAGTGCCACTTTTATTCTTTCAGCAATTCATTACTGTTACACACCTGTTTTTAACAAAAGACAAATAACAGCATGAAAAATTTATACAAGGAATTTTCTGAAGCCCTGCTTTGTGTTCATAACTCTCTGCACACCCCATGACTGCTTTCACTCCTTGGACAATACTGGAAAGCGTATTTCTGTCCCTGGGACCCTGTGCACGACCCTGGCCAAGGGGTGTGCATTGTCTCCACTCTAAGCATATGCACCTTCTCTGTGAGCTCAGGAAGGGATGTGTCTGTCCAGTGCCTTTGCTGAAGAGATGAGAAGCAAGGGTTTGATCACCAGTGCTGGTGATGTATCTGGAGCAGAGGTGTGCTGAGTTACACTAGCTGTTACACCATCAGTCTTGGCTAAAACAAGTATATGTGCCCAGTGAGGGAACTGCAGCTCATTGGCATTGGGTCCTTCACCCACTCTGCCTACTCTCCTGCAACTGCATTACTTTTACTTGCTTCCTCAGCAGCATGAATTGTGTGACATACATTAATTCAGATAATATTGAGAAGACCAAACATGAGATTTCAGCAGATGTTATATCATACTCATGCCAGAAGTGCTTGTAGTTGGGCTGGGGACTTGGAAAAGATATGACAGGTGTGTTTCCTCCAGATGATGGATGTGTGAATGCCATGGCTGAAGTGCCCCAAAGTGCTCAGGCCTGACTGGTCTCAAGGCTTTCATCAGGGCAGCCCTTGGCCTGCCAGGTATGGTGGTGGGCTCCATCCCAGGTACTCTGGATGCACAGGCAGCTACTGAGGGGAAACCCAAAACTCCCATCCTTGCACATGTGATGCAGGGACTTGTGCTTGACCCATCTCCCCAAACGTGGCAGCCATGGCTCACTCACATCTGCTGGGAGATCCTTCTGTCATGAACAACCAGTGTGCTTTAGACCATGGAGTATTCATGCCATGCTGCTGGAAAGGACACTTCTTGACAGTACTTTCCTGGTTTGGGGATATTTCACCTGATATTTACAAACTGCTTTCCTCAGAAAGACTTTCTGTCCATAGTCTTCATTGTGGAATCCTCCTCCTTGGGGAGCATCTTTGGAAGGTGCTGTTGGTAGAAGGTGGTCATCTGGGGAGGACAGAGGATTGTCTGCCTCCGTCCATCCTTTGTGGCCTCACTGTTTCGTGGGGGAGGGGCTACTGGGTGAGGTGAAGATGGGAAACAAATGACCCTTAAGGGTTGCAAGGAGGGGAGAGAGCCAGTCCAGTGCTGGGGCTTGGGGTGCCCTGCTAATCCTTTACTTCAGTGCCCTGCCGAGCACGGAATCATTTCTAAACCCTTGCAGAAATCCACCCCATGAAGTGCCTTCAGGCAGTTTCAGCACTGAACTCTGTTACAGGCTTGGTTACATGGAGGGTTTTCCAGTATTTGACACTCCAGCAATAATTTTATCAAATACATTGCTGACACAGGCGAAGAAATTAAATATGAGAGGTGAAGAGGAAAAATGCTGCTGTAAGACTAAATCATTGGAGGCCAGAATCAGGATTGCATGAATGAGGGGAATTCTGACTTGCTGAGGAAACCTTCAGTTAAATGCTGTCAGACTGTGATGATAAAGAAGACACAAAATGTTGTGGACACTTGAGTTTGTTTATCATCTGTGTCTGAAGGTTCAGTTATGGAGACATTATTGTTAGGCAGCTCTACTGACTGCAGAGCTCTGCATGTCTCAGGACTGGATCAACAGATCAAAAGTTTTCTTTGATCACTGTTGAAGAAGAGAAACAATTGGGGCTGTGGCATCACGGCCAGAGCGTGACTGTTCATTCCAAGATGTCTGAGGAGTTCTCTGATTGGACTGGCAGGTGTACGACAACATCAGTGCTTGAGGCGCTGGGGAAGGAGATGGTGAGGAAAGAAACCAGGGTACATGGAGCTCACAATGTGTCACCCTCCTTGACTCCCTGTAACTGAGTCCTCTTGGTGCCGCAGTGTGAGGGCAGCACAATGGAGAGAGCAGCATGGTGAGTGAGGGAGGTGTGATGGCCTCACTGTGCCAGGGCTTAGCAGTTACTGGATGTTGATAAATGCTTTGCCATGCTGGTCTTAGCTAGTGGGGTTATAGCCCTGGTTTTCTTTTTTCTTTAATTTATGTTTTACACATGCTTCAGTATGAAGGAGAAAGGAAGCCATGTAATGGTCTTGCTTATTTCTTGCGGGTACCCATAGCTTCAAGAGCTGTGGCCTGTAGCAGAGTCAACTTGTGTAGCTGTCACTGGCTCCAACATGGCTCTGGCCGAGTGTCCTTCCTGGTACCATGCTCTTCTCTGCATGCATGTGCCACTGGGAAGCATGAGGCCCAAGAGGTAGCAGAGCACTAGGCTGATCCACCCCATGACTCTGTCCCAGCAAATTCTGGAAAAACCTGGTTTTTCTTCTGGATTAATTGATTAAATGTGAGATGACCAACAGCTCTTGGCTAAAGTGCCCTGAAGACTCGCTAAGCGTACAAGTGATGGTCACATGTGGGTGCTGTTAGGCAGAGCCAGGTCAGGCAGCCTGCGCTGACAGAGGCATTGGGCACACATTCCAAGCTGCAGCCAACTGCTGCTCCACTCTGGAGGCAGAGTGCTCAGTAGCAACACAAGGCTGAGGATGCCAGCTAGGAAGCCCTGTAGTTTCTCAGTTTGCTCTTGTCACAGGTACATGTTACTGCAGTATGACAAACAAAAGGATCTGAAAGGATCAAACCCAATTATAGTTGAACTAATAAGACTTGACATGCAAATGCTGAGTGAAAAGCATGTCAAAGTGGTGCCCAGATTGCTCACCTCGGCATCACAGCTGGCATAGGTGTCAGCTCCAGCAGTCGCCTCACTCACCAGTCCCATGAAAGGCTCACAGAATGCAGGAGCTCCATGGTGGGAGCCAGACTGAAAGGACTGATCTGGACACAGCT